ACATAAATTAAAATGTCTCAGTTTTCCTATCTATTTCTTTTTTGTTTCAATTACTACGCCAAATTTGTATAGTTTTAACATATAATTTAAAGTTTTACGCCAACTTCTACAAACGACTGATGTAGAATTTTTTTTTAAGTATTGATTCTTATTTGGTCAAACGTGTCATGCTAAACATTATTGGAAAAAATTTTCACGGTCATGAACTAATAAAAAATATTGAGGAGGACACCAACTTTTAATAGGAATTCAAAAAAAAATATTACAGAGGATAAGAACTTTTAATAAGGATTCACATAGAAACTTTCTCTAGGCGTCATTCTATTATCATTAGAAAAATTCTTACCGTCTCAAACTAATAAAAAAATATTAAAGAGGACAAGAACTTTTAATAAGGATTCATATCGAAACTTTCTCTAGGCATCATTCTATTATCCTTAGAAAAATTCTTACCGTCTCAAACTAATAAATTTTTTTTAAAGAGGACAAGAACTTCTAATAAGGATTCATATGGAAACCTTCTCTAGTAAGCAGTATTTTTTTAATAAAATATTTTGTTTTTGTAAAGGTGAGTTTTTTTGTTATGTTTTGATAGTAGATGGCGACAGCTTAGTAGCGAATTTAAAATTTCCTTATGCTCTGCCTCCTGAAACAATTTTATTGATTCATAAAAAAGAGTTAAACGATAGTGCTGCTATCTACTGACAATATTTCGTTTTATTAATATTGTATTATTTTAATAACTAATATTAATTAAAACAGTATTTAATTAGACATTTTTGAATTACAAGTTATTTTATAGTTATAATAAGTATTTTCAGTGGCAAAATTAGCGCATCCTGCAATTTTTGCGGGAGCGCATTTTCTCTGTCTATTTTACTGCCCATTTTTAACAACTAGCTTTTTAATCGTTCATAATTATATTTCGGCTATGTTTAATTGTTTATTCAAATCAGGGATAAAAGATGATGCTAATTGACGATATTTCTGCGAAATATACAAACATGTTTTGCAACATCTTACGTGCTTTTTGCTGCTTTTAAAAAAAAATGCATGCAAACGCCAATTTAGTGCTAATATTTTTAGGTAGGATTTTGTCTTGAGCCCTGTTGCGAAATTTATCATACCAAACTTAATTTCTACTAAATGCTTGCCAAAAATTTTGCATAATTTTGCTTGTATCTAAGTTTAACCTTTGTATTTCATAAAATATATAATTTATCCAAGACTTTTATTCAAAATTTTCTTTTTCTTCAATTTTCAATTACTGAAAACTTTTTAATGATCTTACTTCACATTAAAAAGAAAAGACTCTTTTACAAGGTTTTTTTGAATATTATAACTAGAGCCCAGATTTTGATGACCTAAAAAATCTCAACTAATGACCTTAAAAAGTGCAGAAAATGCCCTTAAAAAGGGCCAAAAATGCCCTTAAAAATGCCTTAAATAAAGTAAAAATATTGAATCAAAAAAATATTTTGGTCTTTAAAATTATTATGAGTCATTTAAAAAATATAAAGCAATGCAATACTTGTTCTACGTTCATTAAAGTTTGAAAAATATGTTTTATATCCTAAAATAACAAAAAAAGGAAAATATATTGACACCAAAATATTTTTCTTTTGTATAGAAACTTCGATGGATATAAAACCAAAATATTAGTAACATAATATTACTAAATATCAGAATTGCATTGGATTATTAAATGTTTTTTGATAATTTGAAATGTAAACGAGCGTCTCTTGTCTGAAAGTAAATTTTCATTCCTGCAGAAGCTTCTTTCAACGTCTACTGATGTTATAGGTGCGTACTTGAAAAAGACGGTCTCACTTACTTACAATTCTTCTTCAATTTGAAAAGATTTTGCTTCACCTGTTAATATTCTATAGATTTTCTTCATTGTTTGGAAGGCAGTGTAATAATGAAAATTGATAAAAAATAGTAAAAATTGGAAAAAATTAACAAAAAACTTTAAAAAATGCATTAAAATGCAAAATACGCCCCAAAATTTAAGGAAAAATGCCCTATAAATCTAAAAAAATGCTCTAAAAGACAAAAAATGTCCAAAAATGCAAAAAATGCAAAAAAATGCAAATGTCATCAAAATCCGGGCCTTAATTATAACTGTAAGAAGCAAGATGATTAACACCCTTTTTAAAGAAATTATGAAAAAAATTTTTTTTGCTGCTTTTCGTCGAAAGGGGATAAGAATGCTATTTTGCTTCAAAGAACCTTCTTAATAATTTCATTAATACCCGAAAAGAAAAATGTTTGAACAAACTATTTATAGCTTGAAAGTTAAAAGGAGAAACAATATAACTATTATTATTTATTTAAGTTTATTTCACTACTGTGTTGATATCTGAATCACATTTTGGAATAGATAAATAAAAAACATATTTTCAAACAATTTCATGTAGGACCAAGACTTGTTTGAAATAATTGTCCTTGTAACTATTTAACTTTGATTCCTTGAGCTAGAGCACATTCCATTGTCGCGTTCGACTTCTGCAATCTCAATTTTAAACGAAATTTTTTGGCATGCTTAAAAAAATGTTTTGAAGTCTAGCTATTAAAAAAAAGAAAAATTGTGCTGCATTGATTTTTTAAGAAAGTTAAGACTAATTATTATGTTTTCAAGCCATTATATATGCCATTAGCCTATGTCATTATCTTACGTAAAACTTATTTTAATTCCACGTTAAGAAATTTTTTAAATTTATAAATTCATTTAATATGCTACTAAATGAATAAACCCAATAAACTTAAGCAAAAAGCTAAAAACTTCATTTGAGCTTTAGAATTCAAGCCTGAAGTCATTCCCGTTTGCGATGATGCAGATAAATGTAATGGGCTCCTATTTTTGAGCACTTGGAACATGTTCACTTTTATTTTCATCTTCATGTTTTTTCGAAGCCAATGAAGTTTTTACCATCAATTGCTGTGTTACATTTAGGTCTTGATCATTATCTTGAGAAGAATTTTATGCTCGTGGAAGTAAACATCTGTATTTTAATTTTTTCATGCGGTTCTTAAAAAAGTAAGAAAACCGTATCTTTAATTTTGTAATTGTGAAGTTATCATCAACACTTTAAAATTAAAATTTTGAAACCCAATGTTTAGATTTCATGAAATTGAACATTAGAGCAAATGTAAACGCAATAAAATACATTTTATCTTCTGAGTTTTGCTACCACCATTTCAGAATCCTAAGGACCTTACAAACTCTGTTTAAGGATATTTGTTGATATTTGTTGATAATCGTAGCTGAACGTCATTGAAGAACATATTAAACAACATTGAAGAACGTGAAAATAAGTTTCAGAATGTATAGAAACATCAGGATGCTAATTGTAAATCATCTTTATCTAAAGAAAACCATGTAACTTAATAATTTTAGAATAAAGCGATTTTTTTTAAACGAAGAATCATACAATATCCAACATATTACTCTTAAACATCTATATTTCAATGTTTTTAAACTGACACTTAAAATTAAAAATTTTTTTTTTCAGTTATGGAAAAAATAAGTAGCGTAAATTATATAAAATCTTGTAAATGGGCATTGTATTTATAATTATAACCTCTTCCAGACTCGCTACATTTTTTTCAGCTACCTTTTTTTTTTGTTGTCTTTTTTAAAGTTTCTTGCCTAGAAGACTTTTTCAAAGCTGTAAAAATGATTACGCCTAAGAATTTGCACATAATTATAATAAGTTTAATAAATTTGACTTTAGCATGAAATCCACATATGATAGAAGTAAAAACAACGTAAAAAGCACAAATAATGTTTTTGATTCTCTCATTTATTCATGGATTTATTAGATTTTTTGAAAACTATTTTATTCGAGTAAAAATGGTGTCGAATAAATTTTCAAATGCAACTTGGTTTAAAACGAAGAAACCAATTACTTGTGTAATTCGGTAACTTTCTGTTAAACGCGTAATTAATATTTTTTTATGAATTTCTATTTCTATTTCTTTTTTATGAATTTCTATTTCTATTTCTATTTATGATTTTCTATTCACAACTATTTACACTTTGTTTTTATAAATGTTGCGTTAATAAATATTTCTATGACTCTCTCTCAAGCACAACTATTTACACTTAATTTTTATTAATGTTGTGCTATTAAATGTACGAATTTCTATTTCTTTTCAGCATAACTATTTACGCTTAATTTTTATAAATGTTACGGTAATAAATATTTTTATGACTCTCTCTCTCTCTCAAGAACAACTATTTACACTTTATTTTTATTAATGTTGTGTTATTAAATGTACGAATTTCTATTTCTTTTGAGCATAACTGTTTACACTTTATTTCTCTCTCTCTCTCTCTCTCTCTCTCTCTCTCTTTCACTCAATACTATTTACACTTTATTTTTATACATGTTGCGTTAGAAAATATTTTTATGTCTCTCTCTCTCTCACTCTCTCTCTCTCTCTTTCACTCAATACTATTTACACTTTATTTTTATACATGTTGCGTTAGAAAATATTTTTATGACTCTCTCTCTCTCTCAAGCACAACTATTTACACTTTATTTTTATAAATGTTGCGTTAGTAAATATTTCTATGACTCTCTCTCTCTCTCAAGCACAACTATTTACACTTAATTTTTATTAATGTTGTGTTATTAAATGTACGAATTTCTATTTCTTTTAAGCATAACTATCTACGCTTAATTTTTATAAATGTTACGGTAATAAATATTTTTATGACTCTCTCTCTCTCTCTCTCAAGCACAACTATTTACACTTTATTTTTATAAATGTTGCGTTAATAAATTAATAAATACTTTTATCTCTCTCACAAGCACATCTATTTACGCTTTATTTTTATTAATGTTGTGTTGTTAAATGTACAAGGTTAGCTATACTATATACATTTTTCGAACATTGTACTATTAATAACAGCGTTTAAGCTCGTTCATTCGCAAAAAATACGATCGATGCCTGAGATCACGAACGTTTGAATGGATGGATGAACGGACCCTGCATCCGTATTTGTCACCCTCTCCATCCCTGCTTCTTTTCGCTATAAAAATGGCGTCCTTCTTCTATACGGAGACGTGCGTCTCTTTGTTTAATAAACAGATCCCTAGCTATCTCATTGAAATGGGATTTCTCATGTTGTTAATATGGGCTTGTTCAGTACTGTGTGTCAGTAGAATAAAGAAGACGTATTTTACTCTTTTACGTTTGAAGAAAGATCCCTTCTCGCATATTATAGAACTCTTCGTTAAAGGTAAGCAGTTGTCGAAATATGTTACGTAAAACTTCACTGCTTCGTTTCTTTTTATGTTTGACAATTATATATATCTGTTATCATCATCATAAATCTGCCTTCATGTAATCAAGAGTTAAAATTTTTTGATTTCATAATCCCATAATTATAATTGTTGTTATTCAGGTCACTCTGATTAAATTAAACAATTCATAAATATAATATATACTATATAATATATACTATATAATATATACTATATAATATATAATATATAATAAACATATATAATATATCATATATGATATATAA